GTGTGAAGAGTACAAAGACATCATAGACTCTGTGCTGAGGGATGAACAGCAATTCACGAAGAAGCTGACAGAGAAGCTCAGACAAGCTGAGGAGCTCGGGTGAGTAGGCCCCGTTGGGGGCAGGCAGTGGGGCAGGGGTGTGAATCTCTGAAGTGCAGCAACTCAGCTGGGAGAACTAAGAGCTAAGCTGGGCCAGGACAAGGGCAGGCATTTACATGGCAGGCACATGTCACACAAATATTTATAAAACAGAGAACAGTCATCTTAGTAAGTTATTGATTGCAGTTGTTTCTTAAGCCTTGTTTTCTCTTCTTGAAGCCACTAATTGTTTAGGTAAAATTTGCATAACACAAACCAAAAACAAGTGAACCACTCAGAAGCATTTAGGGTACTCAAAATGGTGTGAGATCACCACCACCTTTACTCTTAGTCAGAATCACCTCGTGACTGACTGCAGCGTTTCATTCATTCAATCAGTGTTGCCTTCTTGACCCTGTCATTCTTTTCTTCTTTAATCTTTTCAATTCACCCCATCTGCACCTGGCCACATTTCTGTGCATGGCTTGTGTCTAGTCACTGCAAGATGCGCTAAGTGAATTTTCACATAGAGATGCCCATGGCCAAAGTGAGGAATTCAAAGGACATTCTTGTGGAACTGATTTAGGAAGACACCGACTTTTGTATACAGAAGAAAAAGATGAATGGAACATTAATGAGGATCTTACAGAAGCACTCTCTGATATATCAGAAGGCTGTGTGTGTGTGTGTGTGTGTGTGTATGTATATGTATGTGTATATATATGTGTGTGTGTGTGTGTATATGTGTGTGTCGTGACCACAGACATCTCCCCAAACATGTTCTGACCTTCTGCTTGGAAGGCTCCTTGAGGACATTCTAAAAGAAACCTCTGTTGCAGTATTAGAACTGATCACTCATCCCTTTCCATTATTAAATCTTCTCTACTATCTCACCTTAGGCAATATAAAGCCCTGGTTCACTCTCAGGCACGAGAGCTGACCCAGTTACGGGAGAAGTTACAGGAAGGGAGAGATGCCTCCCGCTCACTGAATCAGCATTTCAAGGCCCTCCTCACTCCTGATGACCTTGAAAAGTCCCAGGGTCAGGACCTCCGAGAGCAGCTGGCTGAGGGGCGCAGGCTGGCAGAGCACCTTGCTCACAAGCTGAGCCCAGGTAAGCTGGCCATGGGTCCTGATGACACACAGCTCCAGGCTTATGGAAGTCTCCAGACCTCTACACCTCCACAATGACAACTTTACGGGTAGTGTGTCTTTCCAGGAAACATTTGTGGCCATGACATGACCAGGACTTCCTGGGTAGGAATAGAGATGGGAAACCCATGGGGTTGGAGGTCACAGTATTGCAAATGTCTCCTCCTTTCTTGATGGAACGTGGTCTTTGGAGCAAGAGGCAGCATTTGTCCAGTTTTAAAGGACAGGAAGGAGGCTGTGACAGGAGGCAGCTTGTTAGAGTGAAAAGACACCCAGACTAAGAGTGAAGGTTCCCAGGCTCTATCTTCAGCAATGTCTCTAGCAACTGTGGGCAACTGATTAATTTATCCTTCCTGGGTTTCTATGTCTAATTCTGTGAAGGCAAACAAATTGTCTCTGGCATTCAAATGTAGGAACACTTATGACTATATTTCTCAATGAGATAAAGCCCCTCACTGTGTCGTGTTGGAGAAGTCACTTGATGTGGTGGCATTTGGTGGTAGGAAGTGGTTTAGACTGGAGCACTCCCCATGGACAGGTTGTCCCTGGATAACACAATGGAAGCCACTTGGAGGGCCCATGAAGTCCGTAATGTATGGAATATTGTGGGACAAGGTTGTTTGTCCTGTTCTAAAAGAAAGATATAGGTTCTAAATGCAAGTTGTGATAGGACCCAGAGTCTGTGCCTAGGAATCAGATCTATGGCAGAATTGGGGAGACAGCTGCTAAAGTTCAGAGAAGCTGGACGAGCCTCCAGTGATATGAAGAGCAGAGGGTCTTTTCAATATTTGACCACATCTTGATGGTGACCCCCCAGATCAGAAACGCATTGCCTCATGGATCAGGAAAAGATGCCAGGGCATTTTTTTAGAGATAAAACATGAGAGCTTTCAGTACAGTGTGGACTCAAACACATAGATCTTCATGTCTCTGTACACATATGGCTCACTGTACTTACGTAGATGAAGTGGGACACATCTGAATGGACACTTCTGTATTTGCAGAAAATGATGAAGATGAGGATGAAGATGAGATGGATGAGGAGGTTGAGAAAGTACAGGAATCACCTGCCCCCAGGTAACACTGAATAATCAGGAGCGGGTAATGGGTGATAAAATACGAAAAAGGTCTCAGAAAGAACACAAGGCAGGTGAAGGTAGTCACAGATTCCAGATGCAGGATAAGAAAGCTGCAGAGTCCACTGATTTCATGCACTCACCCAGCAAGGAAATAGCCCTGTTAACATGCTTGTCCATTGTCTTCATGGTACACGTAAGCATGACCCTAGATGAACTCACAGCCCTAGGGACTTCCTGCACACCCAGAGAAGAACTTTTCTTCTCTGTAGTGAAAGTCAGGAGGACATGCAAAGCTGCTTTATACACGGTTGTCTTTAGGTTCCTTTTAGTAAAGATAAATAACAGAGAGGCAACAAGCAGAGGAAATAGGAAGCACCTAGCAAAGTTGAACATGAAGAAACGTATTTAGACAAAAAAATTTACATTTCATGTCACAATATTAAAATTAAAAAAAAAATCTAGAAGGCACGCCATCTCTAGAGTCCACAATGACTTCAACGCCTGTATTCCCATGGCCACAGTGAACTACAACCCAGCTTAGACACACAGTGTGGCAGTTGTTTTTGGATCTCTGTGTGTGCTGTCAAGACTGTACCATACAGAGACAGCTGAGTCTCCATCCTGCTCAGCTCCTATCTACCCAATGCAATGATCACTAGCTGCTCACTTCCTCTCTGGTTCCCATGGCAGCCATGCTCTGTTGCAGACAGAAAAGGATCGCCTGTTCCCTCTTAAAAGGAACCTCTCCTTTGCATTCTGGGACCACTCCCTTAAGCCTCCTTTCAAAACCAGCTAGGACTTCTTGGGCTCCAATCACTTTTGGATTAATCTTTTGTCATCTCTCTCCCACTGGGCTCATCAGGGAGGTGCAGAAGGCTGAAGAAAAGGAAGTCCCTCAGAATTCACTGGAGGAATGTGCTGTCACTTGTTCAAATAGTCACAACCCTTCTAACTCCAACCAGCCTCACAGGAGCACCAAAATCACATTTGAGGAAAACAAAGTTGACTGTGCTCTGGTTGTAGAGAGTGAACGCTTTCATGATGAAGAGGAGGAAGCTCTAACCATTCTCCCAGGTAGCCTCTCTATTCTTTGTCCCTCCCACCTCTGTCTAGGTTGAGGAAGATCAATTCTGAGGACAGGCTGTATACATACGTATTGGTTTGAATCACAAACTATAATGGAGCCGGGTGCAGTGGCTCACACCTATAATCCCAGCACTTTGGGAGGCCCAGGTGGGTGGATCACTTGAGTTCAGGAGTTCAAGACCAGCTTGGGAAACATGGTTAAACCCACCTTTACAAAGAATATGAAAAACTAGACAGGCATGGTGGTGCGTGCCTGTCATCCCAATTACCCAGGCAACTGAGCGGGGGAGAATCACCTGAGCCCCGGAAGTAGAGGCTGCAGTAAGCCATAATTATACCACTGCACTCCAACCTGAGTGACAGAGTGAGGCTCTGTCTCAAAAAAAGAAAAAGAAAGAGAGAGAGAGAGAGAAGAGAGAAGAGAGAGAGAGACAGAGAGAGAGAAAGAAAGGGAAGGGAAGGGAAAAGAAAAGAAAAGAAGAAAGAAGAAAAAGAAAGACACTATGATGGAATAATAAACACAGTTACTTGAGGGTCAGAGAACTTTCCTCTCCTCCTTGGCCCATGGCATGGACTTTGTCTTCCTGGACCAAATATTAGCATATTGGACCACAGGCAGGTGTGACAAAGTCATAGCCACCTGTATACAGGAGGTAGCTGTCAGGCCTCCTGGCTCGGTTCGTGTGTCTCTTGTCACTTGCAATAATAATGTCCATGGAGTGTCTATGCCTGTCACAGGCCGCTGACAGTCTTGCCTATGTATTTGGACATGTTTCTCTGGATTCACTGTTCTCAGCCCCAGCCTTGGTCTCCTTTAGGTCAGCTTGTCCCGGCTAAGCAGTCACCTTGAAAGCAGGACATAAACACTTCTAACTTTATCTCGCGTATAAGTTTTCCTAAACAAGGCTGGGCCCTGAGTTCCTCACCCTGTGAGTGGCCAATGTTTCTGTGTAGCACCGCAGATCCTTTTTTATGCAGGGGTTGTTAGTATTTATCCATCAGTTCAGTCTCCTATATAAATTTCTCTAACCATTCATTGACCATGATATATGATGAGATAAATCAGTATTGCAACAACACTTCTGGAGAGTAGTTAGGGCAATTTTTGAAGATCTTGTGGAAAAAGTTTTCTTTAATTGTTGACACAGACTTAGGTCAGAGGAGAGGTGATTATGATCTACCAGATGGGAGAGATTTTATCCCATGGGTCTGGAAAGAAGGCTCATCTACTTCTGAAAATAAGTCAGAATGGTCCTGTCAAAATGTCATATTCTTACACTGAGGATATTTATGTCTTGCGCCACGACTGGACATTGATTTGGTCTTTTGTGAAGTGTGATTTCCTTACTATGACCTGCTCTTCTGAATTTGTTTACAGAAAATCAAAATGATCATGAGGAAGAGGAGGGGAAAGCGCCAGTACCCCCCAGGTAACTGTGGATATGTGGGCTGTTAGTTCAGTAGTGACACCTGGACACCATGGATCCAGGGAAAATAGGAAGTGATGAATCGAATTGTCTCATCCATTCATCCAACTGCAAATTACCCCTTTCACAATGTTGTCATCTTTATTGTGGTACTTGAATAGGTTTCAATTTCTTAATCCCTCTCAAGCATGGGAACCGACAATCAGTTGAGCCAGGTGAACAGACCAAACTCAGGGATTTCCTGATCTGACCATGTGATTAATCAAGAGTGAGATACATATATGTTTTCTGTATGTTTTGTGTCAGCATGTTGACAAGTACTTGAATGCAATTGAATAAATTAAAAATAAAAATTTCATATGTCAAAATATTGAAAAAAACAGGACTTTAAAAATGCAGGATCTGTGTGTCTGGAATGCCTAAACATATCTGTTCACTTGGATGCTGCATGTAAATGTCAACGCAATTTGTGTGAAGGAAGTGAAGGCCTGTGGTAGTTCTCTCTACTGCAAGTCATGCTGCTAGTTTACAGGGAGAGTCTGGGTCTCCTGCAGCAGCTCGTTTGTGGCAAGTGCACTAAGCACCTGCTGCTTGTGTTTGCTCTGTCTCCAGGGCAGTCATATCCACCCCACATTTAGAAGGATGGGTTTTCTCTCTTGGAGGAGACTCCCCCTTCACTTTCTGTGACCCCTCCCTTTGTATCTCATCAAATCACATGACATACTGTGGTGTTGAATCACTCTTGGTCTAATCTTCTGTCAATCCTATCCTACCCGGCTCCTCAGGAAGCTGCAGGATGCTGAACAGAAGGGAGTCCTGTAGGACTTAACAGGGGAATGTGTTTTGTCTCATTCTGGACAGCATGACATGTCCAACCATTACCTGCATAGTGAAGTCTCTTTCCTGGCACTGGATGAAGAGAAAGTTTGCTCCACTCAGGATGTTGCCAAGGATGACTCCAATTCCAAATGGGATGAGACTTCACTTGGCTTTCTGGGTAGGCTCCCTATTCTTTCCACCACACAATCTGTCCATAATGAGAGATGTCATAACTTCAGGAAGACACTATGCTTATATACTGGTTAGAACCAGGCTTTAGGATTTTGAAGGAAGGCATCCTAGGAGTCAGAGTTGTACTCCATCCTCGTCCAAAACCACACATTGTCTTTCATCTTCGCCCCATTGTCAAATCACTGTACCCAAGGTTGACCTGACAAATTCACACCCGCCTCTGCAGCCTGGGTGCAGGATGTAACCACCAGTCCTCCTGATTTAGATTTCATCTGTCATCTCACATGAAATCTTCTAATTTTTCCTCCCAAACAACCTGAGTTTCTCTGCCTGTCCAAGGCCACTGGCAGCCTTATCTATATCCTTGGAGCTGTCATTACCCTCGTTCACTTCTCTCAGGCTAGACTCCCTCCCCTTTTAGCAGGCTTGTCTTAGCTAAGAAGTCTCTGAGTACCAGAACATAACACCACTATTAGATTTTGTATGTTTCTGAAAGGAGGCTGGGCCCTGGAACTCCCTGCCACATGAAAGGCCTATGTTTCCATGTAGCATTAGAGATGCGTTTGATTTAATCTGTCCCTCTAAATGTACATTCTACAAAAACACCGAAAACAGCTTATCGGAAGGAAACGTACTGAATACTGCAGTAACCTGCTAGGAAGCATTTAAGTAGATCTCCAGGATCTGTTAGTAAATAGGATACGGTTAACATTTTGCTGTGACTCAGGACAGAAGGGACTGTGATGATGACCTGTCATATCAGGGAGATTTGCTCCCTGTCATATCAGGGAGATGGCATATCAGGGAGATGGCTCAGGAAAGCAAACCTAGTGACTTCTCACAAGGCTCACCCTGAGGCCTCCTGGAAAGTTTCTCTCACAATAGCCTGTTATCACACCGAGTTTATTTATGCCCCTAGGTAGGATTGGACACAAGGTTGTGAATGTATAAATGTGATCAAGTTCATCTGGCTGGTCTTCTCTTAATTTATTTACAGAACAGCGAAATGATCTTGAAGAGGTGAAAGGACAAGAAACAATTGATCCCAGGTAATTGAGAAAAATCAGGGGCTGTCTATTCAGGGGTGATATCTGTGGAACTCATATCCACAGAAAACCAGAAAGTCCTGAATATACCTAATTCATCCCTTCAGCCAACCAGAAATGATCCTTTCTAACCATGTTTTACATTTTTCATTGTGATACTTGTAATGTTTGCCATTTCTTATTAACTTCTCAAGTTCAGTATATAAAACTAATTGACCTTGTGAACAACTAATCAGTCACACAGATTTCCTTAAAGTAAGTATCTTCTTCTTATGGTGTCCATCAGCCTGAGATGCATATTTGTTTTCTGCTGATTTTGCATTAGCACAGTGGTGAGCATTTCAAGGCAAGGAAATTAGGTAGAAAAAATTATTGTTATACCATGCACAGTATTGAAAGAAAGAGGACTTGATGTCTTGTGATTTGGGGATATTATAATGCACAAAACCTACGTTTACTTGGCCACTGCACATAAAATTTAATACCATTTAAAAGAAAGGAATGAAGCCACCGTTATGGAACAGGATATTCAGTAAGTCACGATTGTACCATACAGAGAGACTCAGTCTCCTTCCTCAGAAAATCGTGATCTGGGCACTTCGCTGAACTCCTGATGCTTCTCTCTCTCTTATCTCTCTTTCCCTCTCTCTGTATTGCAACCTACCCCATGGTAACCACACTGTGACCCACCACAAAGAGGAGAATATTGAACTCTTTAATGGGCTGCCCCATTTGTTTCTGCCATCACTCCCTCCTGCCTCACGTGAAGCCAGCAGGGCTCTGAAACTCCTTGGATTAATCCTTACTCCTTCCTACCTTACAGGCTCAGCAGGGGACCGCTGAGGGTGGACAAGCATGAAGTCCCCCAGGAGTCACTGGATGGATGTTGCTTGACTCCTTCCATCCTTCCTGAACTACCTCACTCCTACCACCCTTATGGGAGCACTTCGTACTGTTTTGAAGAAGAGCAAGTCAGCTTGGCTCTTGTAGACAGTGAGTACTCCATTGTGAACACGATAAATCTCCAGTTGGTGTCCCAGGTAGACTCCGTAATCCTTGCACCTCACATCCCTGGCTGGACTGAGACGTGGCATTACTGTGGGCATGACTCACAGACACAGGATAGTTTGCATCAGCATCAAAAATCAAGTTAGAAGCACAGACATGTGGTGGGTCAGTGAGCTTTGCTCTCTTCCTCATCTCAGACCATGCCTGTGTCACCCTGGCCCACTGTCACGACATTGACAAATTCACACCAACCTACGCAGCACGTCCCCAACAGGTATCAGTCAGATCTCTTAATGTGAATAAGATTTGTCTTGCCAGCTATTGTGTTCCTTACAGGTTTCTGTCCCCAACCATGTGCTATGAGATTCTATGCCTGCCCAAGGCCAGTGGCATCTTTGTCTACTTTTTGTTAAAGATATTAACCATGTTTCAAAGAACCTAGCCTCATTCTCTATGTCTTTAATGTTACCCTGTTTTAGCTGAGCTGTCCATTACCTTTTGTTATGTTTCTAGAAACAAGATTGGGCCTTGTCAATCCTAGATGTCACGAAAACCCAATGTCTCTGTGTAGTACCAAAGATTCATTTTGATTGGAGGGTGTGTAGATTCCCTCCTGCGTTTGAATTTCAGTGTCTAAACTCCTTGCAACCATGAACAATGTGAGTATTTGATGATAGAAGGCTGAATATTACAGTTTTCCTTCTAGAAAGCAGCTGGAGTATTTGCCTTCAATTGGTGTGAAAAATTTGCATAACTGTTGGCACAAAATCAGAACAGATGATGTTGGGATAATGATCTACTAGAACAGGGAGATTTCATGACAGGACCTCAGGTCTCCTGGAATGTTTCTCTCACAGTGTCCTTTTCTTTCACTGAGGAGACTGATGTTCCTATGTTAGGATTGCACAGTGGATTGTTTGTGTGTGGGGGAACCTGCTTCATGTGTCTGTCCCTTTGTCAATATATTTACAGAAATTCAAAAGGATCAAGAGGAGGTAGAAGATCAAGACCCGCCATGCCCCAGGTAACTCTGAGGAATCATGGACAGTTAATTCAGTGTTGATATCCGGAGTCTCAGATGCAGGGAAAATCAGAGTGTACAGAATATACCTGCTCCATCTGTTCAGCCAACCATGAAATAGCCGTATTCATTATGTTGACTCTTTTCATTGTACACCTGTATTTATATTTCTTCCTTATTAATTCCTTTCAATTCTACTAATCTGCATTCAGTTGACTCTGTTGAACTGATCAGTCACAGACATTTTCTGCAGTCCCCTTTTCTGTCCTTTTTGCTTAAAGTGAAGTTGAGTTGCACATCTGATGTCTGCCTCTTTGGCATTACCATGTTTACAAGTATTTGATACCAGGGAAGTGATTTAAAATAACTCATGTCATGCTCACAATGTTGAGAACAAGAGATGTTGAGGATACAGGAACTCTGTCTGTGAAGACTGAAGAGCCTGCATTCATTTGGCCACTGATGCTAATTTCAACAAAATGTATGCAAAAGTGCCGAATGCACTGTATCCTGGCAGTTTCCCACAGGGATCACTCCATTACCTTCCTCCCCAGATCATTGCCTGCCCAGTGCACTGAGAGCCTGTCACGATGTGTCTCCTCCTTGAGACAGGGAAGGATGGTTGCATCTCTCTGAGGGGACTATACTTTGCCTCCTCTGGGCCTCCCTGAGGCCCTCCCTATAGAACCAGCTGGGCATATTGGTGTTGGTTCTCTCTGATGTTTATCTTCTGTCTTCTTTACCCCAGGCTCAGCCAGGAGCTGCCAGAGGTGAAGGAGAAGGAAATCCCAGAGGACTCCGTGGATGAAGTTTACTTGACTCCCTCAGTTCACCATGACCTGTCTGACTGCCACCAGCCTTATAGCAGCACATTGTACTCATTGGAGGATCAGTTTGCCTGCTCTGCTCTGGATGGAGCCTGTGAGTACTCCATCTTGGAGGTCAAAAAATCCACTGTCATCCCAGGCAGCCTCTATATGTTTTGTTTCCTGCACCTTGTGCAGCTGAGACAGACCATCTCTGTAGCAGGCGCTAGACATTGAGCTTGTTCTGAATCTGTCTCTTGGATGCAGTTTTAAGCACAGACATCCACTTGGTAGAATGTCCTCTTCTCCTGTCCCAAGTGACTCCTCTGTCATCTGGCTCCTTCTGACAAGAGCAGGCTGTGGCTATCAAAACAGGCCAGGGAGGGAAGTGGTGAGGGCTTATTGCAAATTCTTGGCCACAGTAGCTCAGCTGGAGAAATTTATATAACAGACCTCCTTCTTTAAGATAGGGCATCTGTCTTTTCTGAAATTATGTTACTAATTACATGTGCTTATCTCTTCTCTGGCCATCCACGTATTCTGGGGGTTTGCCCAATTATTTGGAGACCTGTTTCATGATTCCTGTGTCCCAAGTTAGTTTCTCTTCTTCAGGGATCCCCAGCCATGGGGTTATGGGCCATTATGGGTCCATGACCTGTTAGGAACTGGCCCACACAGCTGGAGGTGAGCGGAGGGAGAGCTTTTCAGCCTGGATTCCAACTCCTGTCAGATCAGCAGGGGCATTAGATTCTCACAGGAGCTCGAACCCTATTGTGAAGTGCACATGCCAGGAATCTAGATGGTGCTTTCCTTATGAGAATCTAATGCCTGATGATCTGTCACTGTCTCCCAGTGACTGTCATCCCAGATGAGACCATCTAGTTGCAGGAAAATGAATTTAGGGCTCCCACTGATTCTACATTATGGTGAGTTGTATAATTGTTTCATTATATATTACAATGTAATATTTATAGAAATAAAGTGCACAGTAAATGTAATGTACCTGAATCATCCCAAAACCATCCCCCCTAACCTGGTCCCTGAAAAACTGTCTTCCATGAAACCAGACCCTGGTGCCAAAAAGGTTGGGGACTGCGGCTCTACTTCCTCTGAGGGGTCTTCCCTCCACTGACGCAGTCCAGCGTCCCTTCCTTTATGTGTGGCCAGGCTTGCATCCTCTGCAGAGCTCCAGTGGTTTTCTCCACGTGTGGGTTTTTAGTTTCAATCAAGTTTTGGTCTCAGTGCTATATTCTCATGAAAACCATCCACAACTAGTGTCCCTCATGAGGTTCTGGCATAACCGATGAGCAAAGCAGAGTGGTTCCTGTCGCCATGACGTCCAGAAAACCCTTCCTCTGAGCAAGTGCCCTTTGAGGTAGCAGCTTCACAGGACGTGTAAAAACAAAATCCAATTTTCATTTCTTCTTACTCATTCTCTTTTTTTTTTAACCTCTATACTGGGAATTTGATGTGCATTGTTGGGGCTTTTACCCATTACTTTATCTTCTTGTAAGAGCAAGTAACTCTGTGATTGGAGTATATTGGATTATGTTGTAATGAAATTAGCAAAAATTAGCAAAAATATACTGGTAATAACCCAGTATATTGGATTATGTGGTAATGAAATTAGCAAAAATGCCAGAGTGGTGATTCACACCTGTAATTCCAGAATGTTGGGAGGCCAAGGAGGTGGATCACCTGAGCTCAGGAGTTTGAGACCAGTGGGGGTAACATGGTGAAACCCTGTCTCCACAAAAAAAGAATTAGCAGGGCATGGTGGTACACACCTGTAGTCCCAGCTTCTCAGGAGGTTGAGGTTGAAGGATCACCTGAACCTGGTTAGTTGAGGCTGCAGTGAGCCACGATTGCACCACTGCACTCCAGCCTGAGCAACGAACTGAGACCCTGTGTCTCTCACACACACACACACACACACAGAGAGAGAAAGAAACTAGCAACAAAGATGTTAGCCTCTATTCTATTTTGGTCAGTAAGTGCCTTTCTTACTGGGACCATCCCCTTTCCCATTTTGCATTTCTTCCTGAGTTTCAAAAAAAGCAAATGCTTTTCTAGGATCACAGTGATTCATGAAACAATTAAAATTTGTTTTTTGCACCTTGCACCTTTGCAAGCACCACTCTGGCATTTTTGCTAATTTCATTACAACATAATCCAATATACTGGGGGACATCGCAGAGTTACTTGCTCTTACAAGAAGATAAAGTAATGGGTAAAAGCCAGCAAGCTCTGTCCTGCTATAACCCATTCAGGACCCAAGGGACACTTCAAGTGGGCAGTGTCATCTCCATGTTAGAGTTGAGGACACTGAGGCATTTTTAAGAAAACTTAGAAAACCTTGCAGAGAATGAGGATGTGGAGAGGGGAGGAGAGAGAGGAGCCCCACAGCCACATGGATCCGGCCCTGCAGGCCCCATCCCTGCAGACCCTGTCCCCGCAGACCCAGTCCCCATCCTGAACCTGACCTGGACTGGCGTGAGGTCATTGGAAGTCTTCTTAGTCCACTCAGAATGTGTATTCCTCTCCCTGAGGAAATGGAAATAATTTGTTTAAGGGGTGCCACCCGAACGCCACTGGAACAGTGGGTAATGTGAGGACCGTGTCCTCTGTGACCTTCCTAAGGAACCGCACATGCTGATCTGTGGCTCTTGTGGCCCCTGAATTTCCGGGAAGGGACTGGTCCCTCTCCTACATTGCCTCTGTCTGCTGACACCCACTATATGGCAATAGGATGGATATGTGTGGGTAGAGGGTCAAACCATTATAGGCAATGGGAAATTCAAAATGTCCCAGAACCCAGAAATTTTGCCTCAGTTAGTGTTTGGTCTGTAGCCTCCCAGCCCCCTTTCTCGTGGTTCTTTCTCAAAGCCTCACAGCTCTAACTCTTGGCCTGTTCTTACTACCCTGTGTGGGGAGAAAAACAGCTCCTCCTCTCCTGTGCTCTGAGGGCTCTCTAGAACTTTCCCTCGAGGCACAGGGAGGAGATGAATAATAAAAGAATAATCATGATGGTCTTGTTAGACAATCCAAAGCCCTCTGGGCTAAAACAGAGGTTTTTCGCTTCAGGGACACCCCAGCCTGGGCACTTGCTGTGTCAGCGTCCCCAGGCACAGACAGGAAAGGTGACATCACCTGCATTTACATGATGTCTGTCTGTGTGGCGTGGGTCACTGTGTGGCTTTATTGAGAGCAGGGACATCAGGGATGCATGTTCTGGGCATGCGTAACAAAGGGAAAACTCAGATTGTTCCTACTGAAACCCCTTCTCCTTTAGCTCCCACCCAGGCAGACTGTCCCCAAGGGACTTGGAGTGGACACTTGAGCCACCACCTGTCAGAGGTGCAGGCTTCACAGGAACAGCTGGAGCCAAGCACCCTGGCGTCCAATTGTCTGAGACTACAGCTGGATCAAGGGTTCTACTATGGAAATGACTTGGCCAGGCGGGGCCCCTCCTCCACCACCTGCAGCTTCACAGCCAATGCTGATTCTGGGAACCACCGGCCCTTCCAAGGCAGGGAAGGAAACGGCATCATGAAGATCTAATCCAGGTGTTGGTGGTCACGGTGCTGTGGGTGGAGGAGAGAATGGGACCACTCTGTGCTACCTCAAGGTCAAGATGAAATTCAGGATGCTCCAAGCCAGTGAGATGAGCAAAGGTTCTGGGTTTGTCACTTTCTGCTTGTTGACTTTAGCCTAGGTTTTTGTCTTTTTGCTATTTACATCTCTGTTCCCTCATCTGAGATAGCTGAAAAATAATATCTACCTGCAATCTTTGTTGGGAATATTAATTATTATAATTTCCAAAGGGCCTGATTCCATAAGAATTGCTCTATTAACCTATGAGTAGGTGTTATCTAATCCTTTTATCTTTCTGCTCAATTTACACTTAGAAAGTGACTTCACGGATGATGTCTCCTGTGAGGTAGAGCAGTTATGAAGATCTCTGCTTTCTAGGGCCCCTCTTCCTCTCCTTTCTCACACAGACTCTTCTGCCAGTTTTCTTCCTCTCCTTCCCCATCCCTCATGAAGCCAATTTTCCCCTATCAGGTACTTCCAGTAACAACCTGTGAGGCACATTGAGTAACAGTGTAAATCCTGGGCCCACACTCACTCTCCTGACATGTCCAGCTTCTTCTGCTTTTTTTGAAATAAAAGGGCAACTTTCACTTGGAAAGTGTTCACATCAGTCTGTTTTATTAAATTCCATTTAGTTTAAATTCTCCACTCATGTCCACGGCCATGTCCTCAGTTTACGTCTCACAGGGATCCACTTCTGCTCAGATTTCCTTAAAACCTGGGTCATGTTCATTCTCACTCTCCGTCCCACTCAGTATCTCCTCCTGGAGCTCCTGGGGCTGCCTGGTGCTCATCTGTCAGGCGATGCCCTCGGCTGAGGAATGAGGGGACCCCTGTCCTCAGGAGGAGGGAGGGTTGGGTGAGATAACGAGCACCATCTGGGCCTGTGGAGAGGACACATGGAAGGCACTCAGGGAGTGTCGGGGGATGCACAGTCCCTGACACGTCCCAGGATGACTTATTTAAACTGATTTCTTCCCACTGGACTCTGCTTTGCTTCTCTATGGATTCTCACACTCCCAGCCAAGACTCACCCCACTGGCTCAGACACACTCCCTGTTGCTCACTTTCCTGGAGTCCAGAGCCTGAACCAGGCACCAGGTAAGAGGACAGAGTGAATGGCTTTTGTTTCATTAATATTTTCCTTCACCTGGTGATTTCTCCCCGCTGTCTACCAGGTCATTTGTTTCTCCCACACCTTTTCTTTCTCATTCTCCTCATGTCTCTAATTTTTTTTCCCATTTGAATGGACCAGAACATTGATGATACTGTGACATTTAATCTCTCCCAAATCCCTATATAATGTTTTTCCTTTAAATTAACATGTACAGATATATGCATTTATATCATTTGTCCTATTATGTGTGACTATGTATATCTGGTATATATACTACATAGGGTGTATATATATGCAGTAGATCATATAATGATGCAACTTTTGTAAATTCTCTAGGTTTAGTCTTCCTGATTCTTTCCTCTCATCAGCTGCTGTCACCTCTGTCTGGTCTTACCTCGGTGCCACATGGGCTGCCACCCTGCCAGACCCTTCCATTCCCATCTCCTCTTTGAACCCAGCTCTGATTTAACTTTGATTCTTGTAATCTCTGCTCTCCCCAAAGCATAGCCTACATACACTGCTATTTCCTTGCCTTTGCCTTATCTACCCGGAAGCTATTTGTGTTTCTTAATCCTGTGTTTCTTGAATATTGTTGTGAATTGGCAATGCCTTTGACTCCTGGCAATCTTACCATTGCTCAGTAATGTGGGAAAGATCAAGAAAAAAGAAAATATTAAAGTGACTCTTTTGGCTTCCCCTCACCCTTTGGACTCTCTTCTCCAAGGCCACTTTCCTGATTTGATGTCCTCTGGGTGGAAGAGAAAGACACAGTAAGATCGTTGGTGCCAGTGGATCCCATTGGCTGTGGTTTTATTTTCAGAGCTGGTTTTAGAGCCCTCCCTGGGGATGAAGAACCCTCCCCAGCTGGGAGATGATGCACTTGAAGGCTCAGCAGACAACACACAAGGGCGTCAAGTCATTGGCCAGATTCATGCCTCCAGTGTCCTGAAACCGAAGATCATCAAAAGAAAACTCCCACTCAGCAAGTGGAGACTGTCATGCAGATTCCCTGGCCTGCAAGCTTAGGGTGCAGAGGTAATCACATCTATGGCTGATAGCTGCACTCCTTATTTCTCTGTCTATGGTGACAGCTCATTCTCCCACTGCTTTTTCTCACCCGTTTGTTCTCTCCAACAGCTGCTCTAACCTCTATCTGGTCTTACCTCTGTGTCCCACGGGCTCCCACCCTGACATGCCCTTTCTGTCCTCATGTCCTCTTTGCTCTCTGAACTCTGCTCTGTTCTTCTAGTGTCTTCACAGTCCCTCTCATGGCCACAGGAGAGCCAGGCCTCCTTGTCCTCATCCAAGTGCATAGTTTAAGCTGCTTAACACAGGGTCGTTTGCCTGGAATCACACACTCTCTTGGGAAATTTACCTTTCCTCCCTTCGTTCCCAGCTCCATTGCTTCTTTCTGCAGAAATCATTGCTTTAATACATCATTTACACATAGATTTTCCTTTTGAGTCCTCTTTTGAGAAATCCAACTAAGTCAACTCTTAATCATCACTTGTTCCTCTGAATGAGAAGTGTTAAAACTACACACAAAGAGCCCCACGTAGGAAACAAAATTAGAACCAGAGTCACAGGTGGGGGTTCCCTACTGGCCTGGAGTCAGGTTAGTCTCCTAGCCCCAGATGTGCAGCCTAGTGTCAATGTGGATCGAGTTGCCAGGGTCTCAGTGTTCTCACCTCATGGACTCACTTGAGCTGATGTTAACTGGCGAACATTTATGACATTCTAAAGGGACATCAGTTCTAAAGCACGTGCAGAGGGCGGGACTTCAACACTGCATACATCATGAGGTTCACCATTGCAACCTCTCTCCTTTTTATTCTCATTTCCACTTCTACAAGTCCAGTGAAGGGTCTAAAATGCCAATCAGATGCATCTTGAGGCCAGTGCATACGAGAGAGCATTTTATGAACTAATATTGAGAAAAGTGACTCCAGGACCAGCTTTATGCATACACAAGACGACAGACAAGAATCTGTCTACATGACAGTTTTTGCTTTGGCCCAGCCCAATTGATAAGAGAGAGATTGAACTGAAATTGTCAGGGAGAAGGCTACAATCCATGGGACCGCTGGGAACAAAGCCAATCATGAGATAAATGGGGAAAGGGAAGAAAATGATGGGAAATTGGGCTGGTCCATTTAGTATCTCTAAATCCTGCTGCCACGTAATAAGCACCTGGTGAGATTTCAATTAAGATGAATGCCTTGAACTCACACCTTGAGATTCTCACCTACATGGCCTGGGGTGTGGTTTGAGCATCTGTAGTTTTAAAATGCTCCCATGTGACTCTAATATGTGGCTAAAGATGACAAGGACCCCTGGCCTACTGTGACCTCAAGGTACTAACATGGAAGTGTCGCATACGTGTGGCTACTCCACAGAAAAGGCTGAGCTACTCCACAGAAAAGGCATCAGCCTTTGATGGGATCTGTATTCCCCTCTCAATAGTATTGTTTGTATAGCATAGAAAAAATCACGAAGAAAAACAAGAAAATTAATAGATTAGACTTCTAGCCTCTGCTTGAAGCACACTTGCTCAATTTTGAATAAAAGATAAGAAATAGTCAGTATGTTAACACCTAATGCACAGAAATAATACCTCCCACATTACATATAGTGGAATTTAGTATTTTCTTTTGCATTTTAAAAGAAAACTTCCACTTTACATTTCCCCACACCCATTTTATAGCCCACTCATGGGCTCACCACTGCAATGTGAAAATTTTACTTTTGGTCAATTATTGTCCTTCCACAAAATCCCTAAAGAGAACTCATTGGTCTCACTTTTCCTGAAGAGAATACAATAACAAAGTAAGACTGAAATTCTGCAGGAGATTGTGTATGAATACTTCTTCATGCCTCTCTTCACACTGGCATAAAATATTAAAAACAAACCTTTTCCCAAAATACTTTGGGAAAACAGTAAGTGGGAGGGGAGAAACTAATGCCTTTCACTTTGTACTTCAAAGTTTTCTTGCTCTAGATATTGAGAATGTTTCTAGAAATGCCTTAAGGTGGAACCAGATGTGGAACAACTTCAGGGCATTAGGGAAAATAAGTTGGGCCGTGGTTACAGTCCCAGCTCTCTCTTTACTAACTCCATTTTGAGTCACTTTTTTTAAAATTCCGTTTCTTTCCTGATTGCCTTTGGACAAATACTTATAATTATATTTGTTTCATTTAATTTTTTTAACCAACCAAAGAAGCAAAAGCAACTTCATATTTATTTGTAAAACCATATTCCTGTCCTAGCCAAGGTGACCCAACCGCTTCTCGTGACTGTTGAGACCTCCAGATTGCAGCCTTTCCTCTCGCTTTCTCTACTCTTTATTGAAACGGCGCTAGTGGGTGGATTCCAATTCAGGGGTCATCAGTAGGAAGTCATGTGCCCTTAGTTCAGTCTTACCCCTGTGGCATCACTACTCCTCTGTTTTAAAAGATGGAACTGGACGTGGATGTTGTCTGAGGTCCCTGCTGCTTCTCACATCCAGGGTTCTTCCCATGGCCCTCCCGTTCCTCCCTAGAAAACTAGGACATGGAGTTGTAAGGGGGTGCATTTCTCTGCAAAGAGTCCTCTCCTTCTGCTCCCCTCTGTTTCTTGGCCAGCATCATTGATGCTGAGCACATCCTCATGTGGAGGAAAAGCCATCACTCTGCGCCAGACAGAGGGGATCAGGAGGAAAGGGGCTGATGTTCCCTGCTGCTGGTTGTGCATAGGTGAGGTCCTTATATCCTGTACCCCAGGCTGACTGGAAGCTCAGGGAAGTTCAGGAGTGTTTTCTTCTCATTTGTGGATGGCGCTTCCTCCTTCAGTCATCCCACAGCTCACCCTTCAGTTCATCCTGCCAGCAAGGGATCAGTTTGCCCCTGATATATCTCTACTTAGCAATCTCCCCAGACTCAGTCATCAGGAGGACCTGACAAAAAATGCTCATTTGATTTTTTACTCTCTCTCTCCTACAGATACCAAATACTGCTGGAAGGATGCAAAGGATGAAAGGATGTCACAAAAAGTAGCTTTTCCACTTGATGAAAACAACTAAAACAGCAAAGCAAGTTCAAATCCAAACACAATACTGCAGGGGTCCTTCACTGAGGATTGAATTTTAGACACAGAATACTCTTGATGATTTCAACCCACTATGCTCCTTTGATTTGAGAAGCCACAGTCCATCCCCCTCCAATTGTGATCAATGCCTAGGGAGACCAATGCCCAGATGGACAAACAGCATTGACAGGCGTTAGCCCTGCTCCTCTCAATTCCCATCGTGTAGAGAACAGGAGTCAGGAGCTGCTGGTAGGAGACGGCATGTCAGCCAGGACTCTGCCAGGGCAGAGTATGAACAATGCCATGTTCTTGCTGAAAACGCTTAGCCTGAGTTTCATAGGAGGTAACCCTCAGACAACTGCAGAATGTAGAACATTGAACAGGACAACTGACCTGTCTCCTTCAAACAGTCCATGTCACCACCAAGAACACAACAAAAACAAGAAGAGACATTTTGGGCTCAGAAAGAGTAAAAAGACTGTGTAGCTTACGCCTTTTTAGTCACTTTGAACCCAAAACATCTCTTCATCTTTTTGTTGTTGTCATTAATGGTGATCACATGGAATGTTTGTAGAGGACAGGTCAGCTGTCTGGCTCAATGGTCTACATTCTGAAGTTATCTGAAAATGTCCTCATGATTAAATTCAGCGTAAACATTTTGCCAGGAACTCTGCAGAGTCCATGCTGTGAGCTTCCTACCTCAGTCCCTCTGCAGGCAGAGAAGGCCCAGTGTGTCTATCCCCATTGTTGTGATACTAGGATGGTCACTTGGTAAAGGAGGAGTCTAGGAGCTCTGTCCCTTGTAAAGACACCTTGTTTATAATTAATTTGGAAAGTGGTTTGAAATAGTATCAATATCCTGTATTCTAACAATCTTCCTCTGAGTATTTTATCATCAATTAATCACCCCTGCCTGTGTCAGTTACTATATTTATGTTTGTACATTGATAATTTTCTATCTCAGAATCTTACTTTATACTTGCCTTTGCTGGCATTCTTTGTAAAGAACAATATTCCCTGCCCAAATTTTAACTTTCACCCAAAATTAATTTTAATTTCTTTTTGCTGGCATTCTGTTGTGTAAAAGAATATTCTCTGCCCCAATTTTAACTTGCATCCAAAATTAATTTTAGTCCATCAGTTAAAATGTTTAAGTTTTAAATCTGTTTCATTAAAACATTTTTTGCCTCTCACTCTGGACTATTGGATTTTTTACATATAATGTTTTAAGCTTTTATTATTATGATTGATTGTGGCAGATGAGAATGTAGATTAATAAAACCATTCTTATTTCCCTGTTTATATTCTAAACTCTTGCATGTTTTAGTCTACATTTACCATATGTGGTAGATTGTATTTACTGTATTTCTTTGTTGATTTCATTTCCTTTTTTGTTTGTGTATGTGTGTGTGCCTTTTGTTTGTTATTTAGGAAGAGTTGTATAGCTCCTATTTAACACTGCACTGAAAAGGTTTAGATGTCACTAATCCCATTTTAAGTTGACACATTTCTACTATTTGGTTTATAAATTTTAAATTATTTCTTTCAACTTCAAATTTTTACCACTATGACAATCAAAGACAATATTTTCCTCTTCTCTAACCCCTGTACCTGCAATTTTTATTTGTTATTTTAACCCAAACATTAAGTGATAGCCTATGTGACAGCTTAGTTTTTGGTTGAGACTTACATTTAAATATGTTGATGCACATGAGCTATTCAAAAGTGTGTCCTAAGCATCACTCGTTGAGTGGAATTTATCCTTAACAGAGTCCTCATGAGGGAATCAGGTCTCACTGACTTTTACATACCTAATAATAAACTTTTCCCAATGTCTTGATACATGGATTGCATCACTGGATATTAGGCACTTGGCAAAAATGATTTTTTCTTGGGATTTTAGGAAATATTGTCTGACTTTGGGAAACAGGCATGTGTGCTCTCATTCTGGGATTGTATTTTGTTCAAGCAGGAACTTTAATTTCTGCCAGTTACTTCATTCATTCTCTTCACCACAAGTCTCCAGAGGATGCTTCCTTTGTCCAGGCCTCCCCGCCTCCCAGCAATTCTGCCCTTCGAAGATTGGCCCCTCTGGTCCTCTGTACTGTGAAGCCCCTGCCTTTCAATACCCGAGTAGCAGGGTTCTGATCCACCAGGTCTCAGGCCTCATCTGTGTTTCTCCACACTCGCTTTCTGAGGAAGGTTTTACCTGTGCTTTGTCATTAACAGGCTGTCGTTGCTGTGCTGGTCTCTCTTTGCCTGGTGTTTCCTCTCCCTCTGCTGTTATGTGGCTCCAGACCTGGCTAAATAAAATCACTTGGGGTCCCCAGTGCTCCCTAGCCCTGGTTGGGGGCAGGATTATGGGTGGTATTTTCGACTCTGTGTTACTCCCTAGGGCTTTGAAGTGTCTGTGGAGAAATTCAGCTATTATTCTATCCTACTTCTTCAAATGCAGAACTTCAACAGTCTAAAAAAGGAGACAGAATCCCACAGTAGAACATCCCCATAATCACTGGCCAGCTTCAACAATTATCATTGAATGGCTGAAATTTACAAAATGCAATCCTTCCTACTTACCTAGGAAGTGTGTGTGTGTGTATGTATATATTTATATATATATGTGTGTATGTATATGGCATATATGTGTGTGTACTTTTGTGTGTTTATGTGTGTGTTTGTGTGTGTGTGTGTGTGTGTACAGACAGTTTGGACATGAGATTCTGGAGGCTGAAATTCTCAAGACGGAAAGGCGGATACCTAGGAAAGTATTTCCTTCTTATTAGGCCTTTTACTTCTCCTCTGGCTTTAGGTTGATCGGATGAGGACCACTCACCTTAGGGAGGGCAATCTGCTTTACGTAGACTGCCCATTCCAGTGTTAATGTCATCCAGAGCCCCCCTCCAGTACACACACAGAATAACATAGGAACAAATGTCCTGGCACCCTGGGGCTCGGTCACAGTGACACACACAATTAACCATCACACAAATTCTTTGTCATATTAGTGATTTTCATATTTTTCTCCCAATCTGTAGCATGTCTTTTTATTCTATGAATAGTGTCTTGTGAGGGGTACATGAGCAGGAGATGCAGGTTTGTTACATAGGTACACATGTGCCATGTGGTTTGCTGCACAGATCATCTCATCACCTAGTTATTATGCACAACTTCTATTAGCTACTCTTCCTGATGCTCTCCCTCCCCCCAACCCAACCCCTCACTTCTGACGGGCCCCAGTGTGTGTTGTTCCCCCATGTGTCCATGTGTTCTCGTCATTCTGCTACCACTTATAAGTAAGAACATGTGGCGTTTGATTTTCTGTTCCTGCATTCGTTTGCTGAGAATAATGGTTTCTAACTTCAACCATGTCCCTGCAAAAGACATTGTCTCATTCCTTTTCATGGCTGCAGAGTATTCCATGGTCTATATGTACCATATTTTCTTTATTCAGTCTATCACTGATGGGCAATGAAAGCTATAAACCCCAAATATCTGAGAAGCATAGTGTATACTAACGACAACAAATATGAAGAAAACCACACCAAGGAACACCATACTCAAATTGATCAAAACCAGTGATAAACAGAAAAACTACGAGGAATAAAAGGAGAAAAAGGACATTACATACAGAAGACTAAATGTAAGGATGGCATTCAATTTCTTATCAGAACCACTATAAACTAGAGGTTTGCGGTAGTTTTAAACACTGAAAAAAAAAAAAAAACGAGCAATCAAAACTGACACCTGAATAGACTTCTAAAACTAAAGAGATTGAATTAGCATTCAAAAAAAATACATGCCAAGAAAAGCCTGGGCCCAGACAGGTTCACAGCTAAATCCTACCAAACATCTAAAGGAGAGTTGATATCAATTTTTCACAAACTCTTCCAAAAATAGAGGACAGAACACTTCCCAGCTTATTCTATGAGGCCAGTATTACTCCAAGACATCACAAGAAAACTACAAATGAGTATCGTCTTTAAATACAGACACAAATCCTCAACAAAATATAGCAAACTGAATCCAGTAACATCAGCAAAAATTATACACGATGGCCAAGTGGGATTTATCCCAGGGATAGAAGATAAGTTTAACATCTGAAAACCAATTAATGTAGTATCAGTAGAAAATAAACCAAAACTAATCTGATCATCTCAATAGACGTGGGAAAGGCATATGACAAAATTCAATATTCTTTCAACAAACAAGGAATAGAAGGGAACTTCCTCAACCTGATAGAGGACATCTGTTAGAAAGCTTTAGCTAACATGTTTAGTGGGACAGACCGAATGCTTTCACCTTTAGATTAGGAATAATACAAAGATGTCCACTCTCACCACTTCCATTCAATGTTGTACTGGAGACTGTAGCCAGGACAATTAGGTAAGAGAATGAAACAAAAGGTATCCAGATAGGAACAGAAGAATTTAGACCACCTTTATTTACTGATGATATGTTCTTCATGTAGAAAACCTCAAGGAATGTACTAAAATACTACTAGAATTAATAAGTTCATCAGGGTTACAGGACATAAGATCAGCACTTAACAATAAATTGTATTTCAGATTTTCAGATTAGGGATACCGAATGTACACACTCTAATCTCTGGACAGTGAAATGATGAGTATTTTTTCCTCTGTGATCTCCTGTATTTTCTATATGGTAAATATGTGCCAGTTTCATAATCAGAAATGAAATTACAAAGATCATTTAAAAGTAGCAAGAGAAATGGTATGAAGGAGATAATTTTAAGGTTGCTGAAAAAATCATTGTAATATAACCCAGCTAGCTAATGTAGTTCCTTTGTTTTTAAGATACATTGCTTAGACAGCATATAATGAGAATAAAACAAATGTATTTTAATCTATTTTTAAAACTTAGTAATTTTATAGGAGTTGATTTTCTTAGTCACCACTGCTTTCATAAATAACCTTTGTTCTTCTAGGGGGAGCACGGTAATATTTCAATGCAAGCAAAATGTTGTTTACAATGCTGTTCATTGATTCATCCTGTCGGGTCGCAAAAGGCTACCAGAAAGTTTGTGAAAGATGTTTGGTGGGTAGCAGGAAGTTGTGAGGTTTAACACATAAATTTGGCTAAATAAAATTCTGATGGATGCACATAGTAGCCAGTACTCCAGTTCATGCATGTGCAATCTGGATTACTGTAGCCAAGTCATCATTAGGTTGGTAATGATTTAATCAACCAAATAGGTGATCAGGCCGGTGGCTCACACCTGTAACCCCAGCACTTTGGGAAGCCGA